CCTGCGGTGCCCGGCATGAGTGTCCCGGAGCCGCGGCGCCGCTGAGCCGGAAGCCCGCTAGTGGGGCCCGCGGGCCATGGCGTTCCTGGCCGGGCCGCGCCTGCTGGACTGGGCCAGCTCGCCGCCGCACCTGCAGTTCAACAAGTTCGTGCTGACGGGCTACCGGCCGGCCAGCAGCGGCTCGGGCTGCCTGCGCAGCCTCTTCTACCTGCACAACGAGCTGGGTAACATCTACACGCACGGTGAGCCCGCGCCGCCCGGCCCTGGCGCGACCAGGAGCCGCGGTGACAAAGCTGCCATTGTCCCGGGCGGCGGTGCCCGGTCCCGCTTCTCCGAGGGGGCCCCGGGTCAGGCGAGGGGAGTAGAATGGGGCCCGCGCCCGCGTAATCCCTCTCAGCCCTGGGCAAGGAACCTGGTGTAGGGCCCTCACTAATCGCAGCGCCCTGGGCGTCCTGGGCACCCTCCCCCGCTAGCACCTGTCCCAGGGATGAGTGTTAATGCGGCAAGGAGGGGCCCTGGAAGGGAAGCCTGGCCTGGCCCGGCCACTCCCCGCGTGGCCGCCCTGCCGCCCCCGCCCCAGAAGCCGCGGGGCTCCGCCTGGTGGCGGCACCTTCCTCCCCCGGCAGGCGCCCGGCCCCTCCTCCGCGGCGGTCCGGCTCTGCTGACACAGCCCTGCCCGTCCTTGAGCTGCCCCAGCCGGGAGAGGGACACTGAGCGGCGGCCGGCCTGGCCAGACTGGGGGGCTGCGGACCCACCAGACCTCACCTGGAGTGCAGCCCAAGGCTGCAGGGCCTCGTTTGACCCCTGGCAGGGCAGTGCCAAAGTGCCCGACTGGGAGGGGCCTGGGCTGGGGAGAAGCTCAGTGCAGGATTCTGCCCCCATAGCCAGGGCGGATGGGCTCCCAGAAAGCATGTGTGGGGAGACAGGACAGGTTTGCTTCAGCCTCTTTTCCCCCTGGCTGGCCCTGCACTTGCCCCTTTCTGGAAGACAAAAAACCCCAAAGCCTCCGTTTTTCTGGACCCTTACTTAGGGGACAGGACACCGGGGTTGGGAGGAGCAAGCTAAGTGGCTAGGGTCTGGTATCACTGCCCACACATCCTACTCTGCTTCAGGTCAGGGCCTGCTTAAGGCTTCTGCCGACCCACCAGGCCAGGTTGGGGCCCCTGCTTGCAGAGGAGGCCCTGTGGCTGGGGGTGGTGAGAGGGGCTTGGGAGTTAGATTGCCTAGGCTGGTCCTGCTCCATCACTTGTTTGCTGGGTTCACCTTGGGCAGGTTACTCAGCCTCTGCAAGCCTCAGTTTCCCCATCTGCAAGGTGGGAATAATGGTCTCTAGTTCCCAGGACTGTTTGTGAGGAACTAAAGCCCCCGAATGCCTCCAACCCAAGGCCGGCCTCACCTCCGGGGCCTGGCGGGTGGTGAGCTAACAGCGTTATAATGGTCTGAAGACTCCTTGGGACAAGCCTGCCTCTCGTCCAGGGCTCGTCCCCAGTGCTTCCTGCAGACTCGGGACACTGTTAGACGGATCGCCGTCTCTCTCCCCCAGGGCTGGCCCTGCTGGCTTTCCTGGTGCTGCTGCCCATGACCGTGCCCTGGGGCCAGCTGGGTAAGGATGGGTGGCTCGGGGGCACGCACTGCGTGGCCTGCCTGGCACCCCCTGCGGGCTCTGTGCTCTATCACCTCTTCATGTGCCACCAGGGGGGCAGCCCCGTGTACACGCGGCTCCTTGCCCTGGATATGTGTGGGGTCTGCCTTGTCAACACCCTCGGTGAGCCAGCCGGAGGGTTGGTCGAGGGGTGGGGGTAATGGGCGGGGGATGGGGGCAACAGGGAGGGGAAGGCAGGGAGGCTCGCCTGAGTCCTGGGGTGGGCAGAGCAGGTGGGCCCCTGACTAACGCCCCACTCTCCCTCTTTTCTGCAGGGGCCCTGCCCATCATCCACTGCACCCTGGCCTGCAGGCCCTGGCTGCGCCCAGCCGCCCTGCTGGCCTACACCGTGCTGTCAGGGGTGGCCGGCTGGCGGGCCCTCACTGCCCCGTCCACCAGCGCCCGGCTCCGCGCCTTCGGCTGGCAGGCTGGTGCCCGTCTCCTAGTATTTGGAGCCCGGGGAGTGGGGCTGGGCTCTGGGGCCCCGAGCTCCCTGCCCTGTTACCTGCGCATGGATGCGCTGGCGCTGCTCGGGGGGCTGGTGAATGTGGCCCGCCTGCCTGAGCGCTGGGGGCCCGGCCGCTTCGACTACTGGGGCAACTCACACCAGATCATGCATCTGCTCAGCGTGGGCTCCATCTTGCAGCTGCACGCCGGCGTCGTGCCCGACCTGCTGTGGGCCGCCCGCCATGCCTGCCCGCCGGACTGAGCCACCCGTCACCGTGCTGGCCTGCCTGGCCCCTGAGGGCCAACACCACCACGCTTCCCTCCTGCTGGTCTGCGAGGGGCTGGCTCCCCGGATACCTCCAGCAAACGTGGGACTTCCACACCGGGAGCTGTCGTCTGTTCACACGTTCTTCACGTGCAGCAGCCTCCTCTTCCACCGTGCTCCGAGCACCAGCTCCCCTCCCTGCTGTCTTCTGCCAGGCACTGTCTACGTTGGCCAGAAACTTTGCCCTCTCCAGGCCTCAGTTTACCCTCTGGGACCTGTGGGGGTTGGGCCAGAGGGACTGGGAGGCGTGTCTTGCCGTGACAGTTGGAGTCCTGCCAGCTTGCTGCCCCCCTCACTCCCTCACCTCACCCCTCCACACGGACCCCCGTAGGTCCCCTGGCCCAGCCTCGCCCCCTTCCCTGCATGCTAGCCCTCCCAGCAGCCCACCTCTGCTCCACTCTGCTCAGAGCCTGCGGAGTTAGGGGCTGCAGGCAGCAGGACTGGCCCCTTTGTCCAAGGACCCAGTCAGCACCAACCCTTCTTGTACCGAGATGGCCAAGGGGCAGGAAGGCTGCTGCTGCTGTTCGCAGCAGTGGGCACAGAGACGCAGAGACTCGTGGCCCTGGGCCTGTGCCCGGGGGGCGGAGGACCCGCCTCCACCTGAGCCTCTCCTGCCTACCAGGAGATTTGCTCTGCTCCACACAGAAGCACAGCTCCCAGCTCTAGGCTGCTGGCCCGAGGCCTGGGGCCCCTGGGTGCCACAGCCAGGCTCTGCCTCAGGACCTGCCCCAGGGGACTTAAACTTTGAGTGACATCAATAAAAGGAGCAGGAAGCCCTGTGTTGCCACCTGAGCAAGCTGGGGCTCTCCCAAGACTCAAATAAGTTTTATTAGACATGCCAGGCAGAGGGGCGCCTGCTTTGGGAGGGGCAGGGATAAAAGGTTAAAAGCACTGAGTTGGGCCCCTGGGGCTCAGGTCGGGTCCAGTGAGTCCTCAAACAGGCTGAGGAGGTTCCGGGGCTCGAAGGAGGGCAAGGAGCCTCGAGGAGGCACTGAGTCAATGTCACTTAGGTCCAGGGGGTCCCTGGGGGGGGGAGGAGAAGAGAGAGGAGTGACACCCCAGAACTGAAGGCCAACCCTGCGTGCCTCCACCCAGGGCTCCGGCTCCCCAGGCCAACTCAGGGTGTACCTGCTCCTGGTGGCCGGGGAGCCACCGTGGGGGGTAGAGGTGCTCCCGGCAGTCCTGGCCAGGACGGCCTCCGCGGAGGGGGAGGGCCTGTGGGAGGACGAGACAAGCAGGGTGTTGGGGGGCAGGGGCTGCAGCTAGGGGCGCGGGCAGCGGGACCACCTCTGTTGTGGCTCCTGACCCCAGCTCCCGCGTGACACAGCAGCCAGTTGGGGACCTCAGACACGTGGTGTATTTTGAGAAGCAGCTTGACAGCTTTCAAAGCCCTTGACCCCGACTGGGCTTGATGGCCCCCTTACTCCCTTTCCAGGATGTCTGGGCTTCTGCTGAGCTGGCTTTGAAATGAAATTTTGGTCAGTGAAGCTTATCTGCTGCTTCGTGTCCACTCTAGGGTGTCCCCGGGGTGAGAGAGTGACCTTCATAAGGAAGGGGTGAATGACATTATTCCTCCTGAGAACTGTCCCCACCGAGTCCTACAGTGTCCTTTGCAGCTGTTTCTGAATTACAGCCTCTTGCTTCGTCACCAGGTATCCTGGGGACAGCAGGGACCCCTCCAGGGGCTGGGCTCCCCTGGTCCTGGGGGCTCTCCCCTGCCTTGTCCCTGGGCACTGGCAGCTCGTCTAGTGGGGTGGGGGCTGCACCACCTCCCACCCCCAGCAAGCGCCCTGACCCACATGTGCTTCCAGGGTGACAGCTCTGGGGGTGAAACTGCCCCAGGTATGACAGCTCCCTGGGTGTCAGCTCCCAGTGTGAAGCTGCCTGTCCTGCTGTCTGCTCCGCACAGCAGCTAAGCCACACGCTGAGCTTAGCATAAGAAGAGCCGCATTCACACTAAGGCAGGCCATACCCTTTGGCCTGGGCCCGCCTGCCCGCCCGCCTGAGCTCACCCACCCGAAGCTGTCGTCCTCCCAGTTGCTGGAGAAGCTGCTGTCCAGGAGAAAGCTGCAGGGCGGTGAGCCGGGTGGGGTGGCTGGCGGGCCCGGGGGCTGCAGCCAGCTGGCAGGGTGGGCCAGCCTGTGGCAGAGCCAGCAAAGCAGGGCCAGCAGGGCCTGCAGGAAGAGGGTGCAGGAGGCTTGGTGGACCCCGGGGCGGGGCGGGCGGCCTGTCCCCAGGCTTACCAGCTTACCTGCCACAGGGCCCACCCTCGGCTCAGGGCTTCGGCCGCCAGGTACCACAGGACGCTCCAGGGCCTCGGCTGCCTGAGCATGGGTAGGGACAGCAGGGCCTCGGCCGTGGCCCGCAGCGTGGGCTCTGGCTCCAGCATCATGGTGAGGACGGCATGCAGCTCAGGAGACAGGCCTGGGCGTGGGGCAGAGGGGTGGGCACATTGTGCGTCCGGAGCCCAGTGGTCCCGCCACACGGGCCCCCAAACCTGGGGCGCAGGAAGGGCGCCCACAGGAGCCACCCTCCCCAGTGCGGCACACCCCCTCCTGGCCCCCACTCACCCGCAGTGAACTCGGGGGGCAGGTAGCCCCGGCGCAGCTGCTGCCAGCCCTCCCCACCGTGAGGCAGCTCCACGTTGCAGGCCACTTCCAGGATGGTGAGGCCGAGGCTGCAGGGGCCAGGGACAGAGTGGGGCACGGTTGGCTTTGGAACACAGAGCGGGGGGTGGGGAAGGGGCCCTGAAGCCTCTGCCACGTGGAGCCACATCATCGAGCACGGCCCCTGTGCCCAGCACAGTCCCCTGCCCCGGGGGGAGGCCGCCAGGCTAGCCCACTGCGCAGGCCCCTGGGCTGCCATGGTTACTAGCGGTACTACTGGTGGTGCTGTTGAGTCTGTTTTCAACTCACAGCGACCCCATGTGACAGAGCAGACCTGCCCCGAAAGGTTTCCTGGGCTGCAGTCTTCACGGGAGATCGCCAGGTCTTTCTCCCCTAGAGCCGCTGGCTGGGTTTGAACTTCCAGCCTTTCAGTTAGCAGCCATGCCTTAACCATCCGCTACCAGGGCTCCTGTCACTGTTGCCGAGATAATCGGATGCGATTGTCAGAGGCTGTGCAGGGCGGCCGTGCAGAGTGTGGACCGCGGAGCCACATTCCTGCTGCCAGCCCCACCGGCCCACTTGTCCCTTAACCTGTGCCTGCCCCTTCCCTGAAAAGAGGTAACAGCGGCCCCTCCTGCCAAACTGTTGCAATGGGTCGTCTTTGTGAAGCGCTCCAGAGGTGTTGCCGCTTACAGGTCCCAGACCCAGGAGACCCCTCGACCCCTCGGGGCAGCCTTAGGTACAGGAATCCACAGCCTGGGCCTTCGGAGCCCCAGTGTCTTCAACTTAGCTGAGCTCGGACGGCGTTTCCCTTGGGGGGAGTCGCCCTCTCTGCTGACCACCGCCAGGAGGGCCTCGCAGCCTGCACCGCACCCCCACATCCCAGGCCTCACCTGAACACGTCTGCCGCTGTCCCATAGGAGCCCTGCAGCAGCTCGGGGGCCATGTAGCGGGGGTCCCCCTCTTGGACCTCACCGGCTCCAGCCGTGCCCAGCTCCACCAGCAGCCCAAAGTCACCCAGCTTGCAGCGGTCCCGAGGCCCCAGGAAGATGTTGGCGGGCTTGATGTCGAGGTGGACCAGGCCTCGGCTGTGCAGGTGGGCCAGGGCAAGCAGGGTGTCCCGCAGGTAGCCCCAGACCTGAGCCTCAGGCAGCCCGGCGCCCCGGGCCTCACAGTGTTGCTGCAGGCTGGGTCCGCACAGCTCCGTCTGCAGGTACAGCAGGCCGCCCTCCTCCCAGGCGCGCTCCAGCCGCACACAGCGTGGGTGCCGCCCCACCTTCTCGTGGCCGCCCACCTCGGCCAGCTTGCGGGCGCGGTCCTTGGGGCCCCGGAACGGCGACATGGAGCGCTTGACGGCATACAGCCGGCCGTCTTCCTTGGAGCGTACCTGGAAGGGAGGTGGCGCCCATAGGCGGGGTGCGGTCGGGGCGGGCCTCGGTGGTACAGAATCCGACAGATCCTAAGATTTCACCTGCGCCAGTTCAACTTGCTGGCAGCTATCCTAGAGAGACCCTAGCCCACTGCAAGAGGGCCTGTTTGAGGGGAACCCAGCGAGACCAGGGGGTGGACCTATGAGCTCTGGCAGGGAGAATCTCAGACGCTCTGTGAAGTGGGAAAAGCAGTACAGGCAGCGGGATCCTGTCATGCCTGTCTGTCTCTGTGTGCTCAACTAGATGTAGAGAGAAAGGTACGGAAGTGAGGACACCCATCTGAGAAGCGAGGCTCCTCTGGGAAGGAGGCTAATCAAAGCGCCTGTGTTGTGCGAACTTTTTAACAAGCACATTGTATTCCTGGGGTACTTGCGCAAGGAAAACCAACAGTTTAAAGGAAATACAAATGATTGGAAAATATGTTTTAAGGGAAAAAAAAGCAGGCAGGCAGGGTGTAGCCCCAGTGCCTGCCAGCCCAGGGGTGGGGCACCGTACTCAGCGGGGGTGGCTCTGGGGACCAGGAGCATGCGCCAAGAACCCCAGCATGGCTGGCTCCAGAATGGGGGAGGCATGCCAGGCTCTGGGCAAGGGGAGAGTGTGCACCAAGGGGGCACCCCAAGGGGTCTGCCCAGGGAGCTGTGAGACAGCAGCCAAATCAAGTGACCAGGGAGGCACCCGCTAGCCCAGAAGAGGAGGGTGGAGCAAGCTGTGGGTGCCCTGCCCAGGTCTCGGTCCCGTCCAGGCAGGGCGAGGGAGGCCCGGGACCGGCACCCCACTCACCTTGAATACCTCTCCGTAGGAGCCGTGGCCTAGGCGGCTGAGCCGCTGGAAACACTGCTGGAAGAAGGACTCAGGCTGGCTTGGGTCATAGCTGGGGCTCTGCAGAGTCTCTGAGGCCTTGCCCCGGAAGGACACTCTCCGGGGCTGGGGCTGGTGCCACCCTGGGGTCCGCGAGGGGAAGAGGCGGCTGACGGGGATGCTGCCCTTGGCAGGGGGCCGGGGCGGGAGGCTCCGACTAAGCCTCCCGGGCCTCTTGAGGGAGAAGCCAGGTTCTGCGTGGCGGAAGTAGGCAGGGACTGGGACTGGGGTGCCACTCAGGGGTGGCGGGGTGCCCTCCGTGGGCACAGGCATGGCCAGCGTGGGAGGCCCTGCAAGGGGCAGAGAGTGGAGGCTGAGCGCAGGACAGTATGCCTGCTAAACAGCACCTGGTCCTTGGGCCCAAGGAGGCTATGGAGGAGCGCTGCGTCCACGCCGTGCACAGGTTTGTCTTTAAACATCAAGGCCGAGGGGGCGGCAAGCACCTACCGGGAAAAGGCAGAGTACCAACATACATACACGTGCACATGGTGTGCTCTGTATTTTGAGTAGACAGTAGAAAGATAACATGAACACCACATGGTCTTTGTCCTTGAGGTCCCCATAGTCTCATACAGAAGTTAAAACCTTATTACAAACTGACTGTTTGACCTTGGTCAAATCACGTACGATAGAAGTATTAATTCAGGCCCACTATCCCTTATCTCCAATTCAAAAATAAAAAAGCTCTGAATTCCAAAAGTTTCTCTTTTTTTCAAGGTTATGGTGCCAAAACTCATTGTTGGAGTTCCACTTCCAGAATGGTGGGAAGGCTGGGCAGACCCTTGCCCCAGGGTGAAGCAGGTATAACTGGTAAAAATTGTTTAAAAAAAAAAAATTTAAGTCTCTAGAAATGGTCCTAAGGGTATATAGTAAAATCTCTCTAAGGACAGTGAGAAACTGTGGTACTTGAGCCATGACCTGCTTCCTCTCTCTCACCGCCCCCCCACCCCCAGCTCAGAGTGAGGGAAGCTCCACTCTGGGTGGGTGTGGCCAAGAAGACAAGCCTCAAACACTGACCTCAAAAGTTGCCCTAGCAAAAGAGCCCAAATTTAATTGGATCAGTCTGTGAAGCAATTCATACCCCAGGGTATTGTTGAAAATAGCACAATCAGCTGGTAATTAGTGGAGCCCAACATCTGCGTATGAACAGGCAAAGAAATAGTCAAGGAGAACCCTGCTAAATAAAAACCCTGTCATCCCAGGAGCCTACGCACATACCCAATATGGTGCCCTCTAAGGAGCAATGGCAGGGGCTTCACACTACAGGGCGACAGACTTCACTAAAATAGTCCAGTCAGTGACTAAAGAAATAAACAAGCAAACAACAATAACAAGCCCTGGAGGGAGGGAAGGCATCAGCATCTAGAGCTGCTACAAAATATTATCAAAAATGTCCAGTTTTCAACAACAACAAAAGTACGAGATATGCAAAGACACAAGAAAGGGTGACCCCCACACAAGAGGAATAGCAGGCAACATAAACTGCTTGTGAGAGGGACCAGATGTCAGATTTAGCAAAGACTTCAAGTAGCCATTATAACTATGTTCAAAGAACTAAAGGAAACCATGCTTAAAGAAGTAAAGTATGATGACAATGTCTCACCAAATAGGAATATCAATAAAGATAAATTATTAAAAAACAACCAAACAGAAATCGTGGAGTACAACTGAACTGAAGAATTCACTAGAGGGGCTCAACAGTAGATACGAATCGACAGAAGAAATAATCAGTGAGCTTGAAGCTAGATTGATAGAGATTATGCAATCCAAAGAACAGAAGGAAAAAAGAGTGAAGAAAAATGAACACAGCCTCAGAGAAATGTGGGACATCATTTTAAGCACAACAACATACATGTGATGGGAGTTCCAGAAGGAGAGCAGAGAGAGAAAGAAACAAAAAATATTCAAAGAAGTAGTGGCTGAAAACTTCCCAATTTTGATTTAAAAAAAAAAAAATTAAACTACACACCCAAGAGGAGTCCCTGGGTGGAGCAAATGGTTAAGCACCGGCCAACTAACTGAAAGGTTGGTGGCTCAAATCCACCTAGAGGCACCTCAAAAGTAAGGCCTGGTAATCTGCTTCCAAAAGGTCACAGCCTTGAAAACGCTATGAGGCAGTTCTACTCTGCACACGTGGGGTTGTCATGAGTTGGCATCGACTCAACAGCAACCAACAACAACGACACATCCAAGAAGCTTAACCAGCTCCGGGTGGGATAAACACAAAGAGATCCACACACAGACACATCAGAGCAAAAATCCGGAAAGCCAAAAACAAGGAGAAAATCTTGAAAGCCGCAAGAGAAAAATGGCTCATCACTTAAAAGGGACAGCCCTCCCAATAAGCTCAACAGCTGACTTCTCATCACAAACAATGGAGGCCAGAAGACAGTGAGATGACATATTCAAAGCAGTGGGGGAAAAAACTATCCAACAAATACTCTATATCTTTCAAAACATAAAGCCAGATAGAAATTTCCAGATAAACAAAACCCAGAAAATTCGTTGCTAGAAGACCCACCTGACAAGAAATGCTAAAGGAAGTTGTTCAGGCTGAAAGCACGTGACCCCTGACAGTAATCTGAGTCTGCATGAAAACGTAAGGAGCAGTGGCAAAGGTAATTATAAAAGACAGTATAAATGCATATTTCCACTCCTAACTGATTCAAAAAGCAATTGTACAAAACAATAGGTATATAACAGTATCTGGAGCACACATAGGCATGTAAGATATTTGCAAATAACAACACGGAAGAGGTGGACGGGAGCAGAGTGATACTAGACCAAGCCAATGACACCAGATGGCGATGCAAGTCCACAGAAGGGACGAAGAGAACCAGAAACGGTAAATGAGAAGCTAACACAACACGCCCTGCGCACAGGCTAGCTCTCCTTCTTTCTCTCAGCCTCTTTAAGACATTAAAAAAGACCTAAATAAACGGAAAGCATTCCATTTGCCTGGATCAGAAGACACGTAAAGAGCTAAGACGGCAACGCTTCCCAAACTGATCGACAGACTTGCAGAAATTGAAAAGATGATTCTAAGCTTCATAGGAAAACTCAAGGGAACTAGAATAGCCAAACTATCTTGAAAAAGAACAAAGTTGGAAGAGTCACACTTCCCAATGTCGAAACTTACTACAGAGCGACGGTAATCAGGACAGTGTGGTACTCGCATAAGGCTAGACAGATACAGCAATGGAAGAGAACTGAGAGTCCAGAAACCAACCCGCACATTTATGGTCAGTTTATTTTTCATCGAGGATGCCAAGTGCATTCAACGGGAAAAGAGTTTCAACAAACGGTGCTGGGACAACTGGCTCTCCACGTGCCAAACGCCCTCAGCAGCAGACTCTGACCTGATCTATTTTTCCCTCTTAGTGTGAATATTCATACGTTTCATGGCAGAACTATTCATGTGATTGGTTTCGGTGCTGTCCCAGAGCCACAGGGGTTGTTATGTATGTTATATATACCATATGATCTTCCTAATATCTGAGACAGTTTGAATTCCAAAACACATCTGGCCCCAGGGTTTTGTGGCCCTTCAGTACGGATTGCACTTCAACATAAAGGAAACACAAGTCTCACAACTGGACCACTAAGTAAGGAGAAAAGATTGAAGAACTCAAGGGTTTCATTTTACTTGGATCCACAATCAACGCCCACGGAAGCAGCAGTCAGGAAATCAAGTGACGTATTACATTGGGCAGATATGCTGCAAAAGTCCTCTTTCAAGGGTTAAAAGCAAAGATGTCACTTTGAGGACGAAGGTGTGCCTAACCCAACCCATGGTATTTTCAACAGCCTCATATGCTTGCGAAAGCTGAACAATGAATAAGGAAGACCAAAGAATCAATGCCTTTGAATTATGGTGTTGGTGAAGAATATTGAATATACCATGGACTGCTAGAAGAATGAACAAATCTGTCTTAGAAGTACAGCCAGAATGCTCCTTAGAAGAGAGGATGGTGAGACTTTGTCTCGCATACTTTGGACATGTTATCAGGAGGGACCAGTCCCTGCAGAAGGCCTGTTAAAGCAGAGGGTCAGCGAAAGAGAGGAAGACCCTCAAGGAGATGGACTGACACGGTGGCTGCAACGATGGGCTCAAGCATAGCGACGATTGTGAGGTTGCTGCAGGACCGGGCAGTGTTTCGTTCTGTTGTACACGGGGTCACTATGAGTTGGAACCGACTAGACGGCACCTAACAACAACAGTACCGATCTGATGGAGGGCTAAGTCCAATGTCTGGTACGAAGAGGGCTCAGTAAATACTGTTATTATTACAAACAAGGAGCCCTGGTGGCACAGTTAGGCGTTCAGCCACTAACCTAAAAGTTGGTAGTTAGAATCTACTCAGTGGCTCCATGAGAGAAAGACCTGGCCATCTGCTTCCATAAAGATTACAGCCAAGAAAACCCTATGGGGCAGTTCTACTCTGTCACATGGGGTCACTATGAGTTGGAATCAACTTCACAGGCATCCAGCAACATTACAGGCAGTCCCTGGGTTACAAACATCCAATCTATAGTTACAAATCAACTCCCATAAAGCCTATATGAAAAATGTGAGGTACATACAATGGTTTGTAATAACAAATGGGTGCTACTTTGTAATGCCCATCAAAACATTATTATTATTAATAATACTATATTATTATGTTAAAGATGTTTTAGTGTATCTGGAAGTGTTTCTTTAATGTTTTTTATGCATAGAAAGGTACACTACATACTACCAGAAACATTTGACTAACTGATGTTAGATACGAACCATACCGGTTTCAGCTTATGTACAAATTTGACTTCAAGACAGACTTAGGAGTGGAACTCGTTTGTAATCAGGGACTGCCTGCCTTACGAACATTGCTCCGAGTGTAGCTGAGAGTACACACACAGTACGGTGGGTTCATGGGGGGTGACTGTGTGCTTGGGGCAGAGAGAGCTGTCAGTGTTGCTAAAATGTATTTGAAACAAAAACAAGAGAAGAGAGAAGTCATCCTCCCATTATGAGAGGAGGCCACCATGTATCCAAGGATGCTATAGCCAGCAGGGGGCGAGTAAGTAGCTAAAACAGGAGGGAGCAGTCACCTGAAGCACGAGCTCCAGCCTGGCCTTGAGCAGCCAGGGAGGGATCCCCTGGGAGCCCCCGGGAAAGGCCCACCCTACACGCTCCGAGGAGCCTTTCTCCTGAGCTCTACCTCTGTTCACTGCAGGGAACCAGCCTCAGCGTTTCTCAAAGTGAGGAACAGAGCTGTCAGGATCCCCTAGGGCGCTAGTTAGA